AGACCAGCACTGCTGGGAAAGAGACTGTGAGAGACTGTTGGCTGAGGGACAGTGGGCTGGGAGAGAGACTGAGCATTTTTCCTGAACTTGAATTGTAGCCTGTGGTGCTTCCCTAATAAACCCCATAATCTGTGAGTTCTGTGTGGCCACTGCAGTGAATTATTGAACCCAGGGGAGAGGTGGTGGGTGCTTTGGGAGGAACTGTTGGAGCAAGGGCTGGAAGCGGGGAGGCAGCATGTCTGGCCTGGCAGGAATAGGCCTTGGGTTACTGCTGGTAATCCTGTCTTCCTCTTGCAGGGTTAGAGGAGGTCTGAACATGTGGCCTCCTTGCTGTTTTTGCACCACACATGCTGCCAAGGGCAGGGGCACCATTATTTCTGCATTGTGCTGACAGGCTCTGAGCACATGCTGTATGCCAGCACTAAACTAGGGGTTGAAGGCGAGGAGCAAAGCAGCCCAGATCCAGTCATCCTCCCAAGAGTGAGCTCACACAAGTGGCCTGGACCAAGCAACGGCAGATCTCTACACAGGCAGTGCAAGGCTGGAGGAGGCTTTTTGGAGGGGTTGGCTGCCTGGGCCAGGCGGGGCAAGGATGGGTCGAGAAGGCCTCAGGGAAGGAAAGACTCCTGGTAATAGCTGTAATTAGGCACACACTCGGTGCCACAGGACACATGCAGTCTCTGAATTCTCAAAACAGCCTGGAGTCGAAGCTTACAGAAGGGAAAGAGAATTTCAGAATTGAGTGTCCTGCACCCAGTCATGTCACTAAAGCAGAATTCGAACTCTACCCAACTCCCAAACCCTCACTTTCCAGTACTTCCTGCTGTCTCCCCAGCAGACTGCTGCTCCTGCCCCTCTATACCCTTCTGGAGTGTCCTTCCTACCTGTGGGATGCTAGACTGATGTTATGATTTTCCTTACAGTGTAGGTCTTTCGGTGAATTTCTCGTTCACATCTGGAGTACAAAAAAGATCCTCAAATTACCCTGCCATCTTAGTTTTCAGAAGCACCATTTTCCCAAGAACTCAAAGAGCTTTCACAGTTGTGTTCTTCCTCTGTCCCCAAGGTACCCTCAAGGAGTGAAAAGTTCCAAGGGTTGTCTTCCCCTTTGTGTGGAACAAACCCAAGAAGCCTGAACTCCTTTAGACTGCATGGGAATGAATGGTGGGTTTAAGATTACCTCAGAGGATGACTGTAAGGGTTAAATGAGGAAACCTGGGACAGAAGTGCCTAAAGTAAGTGCTCAATGAATGTCATTGACAGTTGTAGCTATCACTGTGGTCACTAAAAGCAAAGTCTCAGAGTTCTTGCCTCCAAGTAATCAGGCACTCTAAAGTCATGTGGCTTGTTTAATTGAGGCCACCTTCCTTGACTATACTCCAGAGCACAAAGTAGGTCCTGGGTAACCTTTATAGTTTAAGTTGGGTTTCTGAAAGTTCAGGGAGAACTAAAAGACAGGATGGCTCAGTGATCTGAGGGAACCCAAGGAACAGTGTCTACCCAGAGGGTTAAAGGCACTGCTGAGCTGAAATCAGTAGCAGCACAGAGCTGGGTGCCAAGCAGTCTGTGGAAGCCACGTCCACAGAGACAGAGGCGAGGTCAGAGGTGACATGAGGCAGAGTCATTAGGAGAGGGGGTCAAAGCAAGAACAAGACAGACGGGCACGAGGAGGACTCACTGATTGCTGGTAACCATGCTGGGAGGGCTGCAGTTCCTGATCGTGGTTGTGTGAGCCACAGAGGCAGCGGCATGGTAGACCCTAACCAGCACTTATAGCCTCAGTTTATCCCTACCAAATATGAGATGCAGGAGAGAAGGCCTTTTACTTGCTATAAAACAAAATAAAAACACAAAAAATAAGCTTTACATTCCCTTTACATTCCCTGATTTATGAATATCAAACTGATGGTGGATTTACTGAGATGATGGGGAAAAAAATGTACCTAAATGGGTCATAGGCTTGATTTATAAAGTGACACTCAACGTGTATGTAGCAGGTTGAAAACCTCCAAAAAGTATGTCTACATCCTAACCCCCAGAACCTTGTGTATGTGACCTTATTTAGGAAAAAAAAGGGGGGGGAGGGGATGGTCTTTACAGATGTAATTTAAGCAACTTGACATGAGAGATC